GTTGTTCCGCGCACGTTATCGCTGCTGCTGCTGGGTTTTTTTTTGCCGCGTTGTTAGTTTTTTTATTCTCTTGCAAATCGAACGCGAACCAAGGTGCAGTGTGCGCAGGGCATATTTGTGAAGCGACAACCCGCGCGCGCGTGTTCGCAGGACTTAGATTAAAGCCGGCGCAAGGGTGCCAAATTGTCAGATCGTGTTCTCAAAAATACGCCGGGGAAATGGAGAAGTTGTGGGACGCGGCCAGCTGTGTAGCTAACGAGTTGGCGGGATTTGCACTGGTACCGTGCTCCCATAGCCACGGGGCTGGGCTACCAAGATGATAATTTGACACCGGGTCCCATTTATTTCCTTGAGCCAGGGCCCATGGTGACCGCACTCTGTCACACGTCTCCGACTGATTTGAACAATAATATGATTATTCTTGATGCCCTTTATCCGGGAGACACACACGAGATTTGTCAGATGAATATTTGGAAGGGTTATGCAATGGGATGTTTGTACAATCCCACGAATGAGGGCTTTTCATTTTGGAGGAAACGAGAGAACCTGGTAGAATCCATGGCTGTAAGGCGGCAGCAACCGAATCATTAGATGAAATGCATTGTTATACTGCCATCGTCTGGGATTAGTCAAACTCCTACTCCTACCTGCGTTGTTTTTCAGATTGGACGTGATCGGGCGCGCCCAGGGTGATATCGTCAAAAGTAAATGTGGCAGTGATTTTGTTGATCATATTGCATCTTCTTGGTTCTTTCGGTAAAGTCACGTAGAATGGAAATAATAAAATAACAAAAATAAAACATAAAAATAATTCTCACGATGTTTCGGCCACAACGCAAGCAGCCGTCCTCAGGTGAAGAACAGGTCATTCAGACTCTGTCTTCTCGATATTTCCATTCTACGTGACTTCACCGAAAGAACCAAGAAGATGAATCCCTGCAATCACGAAAGCTTTAAATCGAAACATATTGCATCTGTTGGCACGCCGGCTCACAGGCACACAAAGGGGCACACATCCCATCATACATATGCACACACATCCCCCGTGTGGCCTACACATGCTGGTCGGGCAATTGCTGTTAGCGAGCAACTATGAAGGTCGCCATGGCGCTGCAGGGGTCGGGTGGTGTTGATAACAGCCCCACGCCCTGCTGCTTTTGTCTCCTGAATGGCGATGTTCAGACACTGGCACCAGCTACTCAATGAGGCTGAGTCGACCTCGGGAAGAGCCAGGACAGGTTCCAATAATCGTCACTGATGTTGGCCATGAGCAAATCGAACTCGGGTCACCGGGTCCATACGTCAGCGTGCTACCCACAACACTGCCACTGCCACTACACATTGGCATACATCCACATTGGCACACATGTACGCATACACACACACCATGACACCAGCATAAACCCATCAGCCACATCAGCACCAACACTGGGATGCAGGCACGCACGCACAGCCCCATATTTGTCACTTTTACTTTTCAAGGCCTTAAATCTGTAACAGATTCAGGGCACACACAGACATGTATTTCACAGGAATAGTGGATCCGAGCAGATCTGCAGTGCAGCCATCATGAACAAAACCATACATATAATTCTCACCAATGTGAATGTACTAAGTGAGGAGTAATTTGATAACAATAGTTGAAATAAATTTAATTTAGTTCAACAAAAATAAAATGTGCTCATATTTGTTCACACCAACGATATGAACCAACACACACACACCAACATGCACCTACCAGCACACACTAACCCACGAATACTAATCCACGTATACCATGATATGACGTTCAAAATCTGGATATGTCAGACTGCTATACACACCAGCATACATCTACAATACTCACAAACTGACACACGTATAACATTCTGACACACTGCTACACACACACTCGCATATATCTACTAGTACACTGACACACACACATACACTTGCACACACAGACATACTAGCATACATCAATCGCCACACCGACACACATACATATACTATTGAAATGCATTTTATGACACGCCAACACATGCACGGACCTACACGCCGGTGAACATACACACAGACACACACATACACACCCCGATACACAGACACATACAGACACACCGGCACACACAGACACACACCGACACACCGGCACACACAGACACACACCGACACACCGACACACACAGACACACACAGACACACACCGGCACACACAGACACACACCGGCACACACAGACACACACCGGCACACACAGACACACACAGACACACACAGACACAGACACACACAGACACACACCGGCACACACAGACACACACAGACACACACAGACACAGACACACACAGACACACACAGACACACACCGGCACACACAGACACACACAGACACACACGGGCACACACACACAGACACAGACACACACAGACACACACAGACACACACCTGCACACACAGACACACACAGACACACACGGGCACACACACACACAGAAACACACAGACACACACAGACACACACCGGCACACACAGACACACACAGACACACACGGGCACACACACACAGACACACACAGACACACACGGGCACACACAGACACACACAGACACACACAGACACTCACCAGCACACACAGACACACACAGACACACACAGACACAGACACACAGACACAGACACACACAGACACACACAGACACAGACACAACACAGACACACACGGGCACACACAGACACACACAGACACACACAGACACAGACACACACAGACACACACCAGCACACACAGACACACACAGACACACAGACACACACAGACACACACCGGCACACACAGACACACACCGGCACACACAGACACACACAGACACACACGGGCACACACAGACACACACAGACACAGACACACACAGACACAGACACACACAGACACACACAGACACACACAGACTCAGACACACACGGGCACACACAGACACACACAGACACACACAGACACAGACACACAGACACACACAGACACACACAGACACACACCAGCACACACAGACACACAGACACACACCGACACACACCAGCACACACAGGCACACACCGACACACACCAGCACACACAGACACACACAGACACACAGACACACACCGACACACACCAGCACACACAGACACACACCAGCACACACAGACACACACAGACACACACAGACACAGACACACACAGACACACACAAACACACACAGACACACACAGACACAGACACACACAGACACAGACACACACGGGCACACACAGACACACACAGACACACACAGACACAGACACACACAGACACACACAGACACACACCAGCACACACAGACACACACAGACACACAGACACACACCGACACACACCAGCACACACAGACACACACCGGCACACACAGACACACACCGACACACACCAGCACACACAGACACACACCAGCACACACAGACACACACAGACACACACAGACACAGACACACACAGACACACACAAACACACACAGACACACACAGACACAGACACACACAGACACAGACACACACGGGCACACACAGACACACACAGACACACACAGACACAGACACACACAGACACAGACACACACAGACACACACAGACACACACCAGCACACACAGACACACACAGACACACAGACACACACCGACACACACCAGCACACACAGACACACACCGGCACACACAGACACACACCGACACACACCAGCACACACAGACACACACCAGCACACACAGACACACACAGACACACACAGACACAGACACACACAGACACACACAAACACACACAGACACACACAGACACAGACACACACAGACACAGACACACACGGGCACACACAGACACACACAGACACACACAGACACAGACACACACAGACACAGACACACACACACACACAGACACACACCAGCACACACAGACACACACAGACACACAGACACACACCGACACACACCAGCACACACAGACACACACCGGCACACACAGACACACACCGGCACACACAGACACACACAGACACACACGGGCACACACAGACACACACAGACACACACAGACACACACAGACACACACCGGCACACACAGACACACACAGACACACACGGGCACACACAGACACACACAGACACACACAGACACAGACACACACAGACACACACAGACACACACGGGCACACACAGACACACACAGACACACACAGACACACACAGACACAGACACACACAGACACACACAGACACACACCAGCACACACAGACACACACAGACACACACCGACACACACCAGCACACACAGACACACACCGACACACACCGGCACACACAGACACACACAGACACACACCGGCACACACAGACACACACCGGCACACACAGACACACACAGACACACACCTGCACGCCGGTGAACAGGGCGTGCTTTGCGGGGTCACTCATGCAAGGTCACGGTGCAGACATCGCCCAGACAAGCGCGGACCAGTCACCGCTCACACACACACAACCATCCCATCATCACCATCACTATCATCACCGCTCACACGCACAACCATCCCATCATCACCATCACTATCATCACCGCTCACGATACACAACCCTCCCATGATCACCACAATCGTCAATGCAACCGCTGCTCACGCACAACCAGCGAATTTTCCCACCATCGGCTAAGACTCGCACACAACACACACACATGTACATATCCAAACACACACGTGCATGTCCATGCACACACACGTACGTACACATGCACACACACGTACGTACACATGCACACACACGCACGTACACGTGCACACACACGCACGTACACGTGCACACACACGAGGAGAACATTGGCATGTCGCGCACGCTCCAGCGACGTGCCGGGGTAGAATTCGCATCGAGACGCGGCACACATCACAACCCATCCTCCACCTACTCCTCCTCTCTCTCTCTCCGCGTGCGAGATTGCAGCTCTCACCTCTTCTCTCGTGTCCGTCTCTGTCTGGCTCTCCTCCATCCCAGCTGACGACGGAGACATGGTTCCTACGAATTGCTGCTGCTGCTGATGTTGTTTGTTATTGTGCGGGCTGCATGTGTATGCTCTGCTCTTCTGCTCGCTTTGCACGCTCGCTCCCTCCCCCTCTACCCCCCCTACCCCCACCTCACGTCCTCTCCCTCCTCCCCTGCTCTCCTCCTTGGTCTCGCTCGCATGCGCTGCTGCCTTGCAGCTCAAGCCAGAGCTGCTGCCACTGCCCCCGCTTTGTCGTCGGCTGTTACCACCCCGAGGGCACGGGAGAAGGGCGAGGGAGGGACGCAGGTCCACTTTGCCCTGTGCGCATGCACACCACGCCTGTGTGCGGTGTGCTGAGCTCCGCGGGCAACTTGCCTCTCTTTCCCCCCCTCTGCACTCACCCCCCCTCCCCCCGACGTCAACCACAGCAACCAGCAGCTCAATCATGCACAGCCCCGCATCACCACCAGTAGCAGCAGCAGCAGTAGCAGCAGTAGCAGCAGCAGTAGCAGCAGCAGCAGTAGCAGTAGAAGCAGCAGCAGCAGCAGTAGCAGCAGCAGTAGCAGCAGCAGTAGCAGCAGTAGCAGCACACCTGTGCTTAAACGCACCAGGCTCGTGACTCGGTACCAATCGCACCAGCCCACCCACATCCCGCCAGTCACACGCTGCTGCGTGGAGGCACCACCACAACCAGAGCAATCGGAACGGTTCAACAACGGCGCCTGTAAATTCACGCATGCCACAATTACCGACATTATCGTCATCAGTTTAACACGTAGGCTTTCGCGACCAATATTATTCATGATAAATGTTTTTGGGTTAGATGGCGTCATTAATAAATGTGTCGTAAACCCTCCACCACCCGACACGGCCAAACAGTTAAAAAATGTGTCACGTTTACAAAAGACAAATAGTTCACTACTTTAGCCCACCGGTGTGTTAAATAACCTTGGTCTATCCGCTGCTGCATGGAGATCTCCCCAAGCAGTCGGGCACTCGCACAAACCGCCGAGTTGTAATCTGTGTATGGCGAAGAAACACATGGCAACGGGATAATACGTGCAGGCTGGGAGCAAAGAGAGGTAACAGTACACCGAGGTGTGCAGCATTGCGTGTGTAAGACCACCAGCTCGTTGCTGACTACTGCACCGATGGGATGGCCACGTTTTCTCAACTCTTTGAGTTGATGGTCTCAATAAAAAAAACTGTCTGCACATTCAGTAACTTTGGGCTGGTGGTCTGGATAAGGCTGAAATCGTTTGTACACGCGATGCTGCCCGCCTCTGTGTGTTGTTAAATCCAATCCACCCAGTGCCTGGGTGGCACTGGGTATGGAGTGTCAGTCACAGGATAACACATTCCTGCGGAGGGAGCTGGTAGGAACGTTGGGTTGCTCGGTCAATGGCCAGGGTCAACGGCGGCGTGGTGTATTCGCAAATATGCCCGACTGTGAGGGCGGGCACAAGCCGGCGTGAGTAGGTTAAACGTTGAGTTTTATAAGGGCACCACGGGGTGACCAGCCCCTCCCCACCCAGCCCCACCCCTCCCACCCCCCACCCAGCCCCACCCTCCTCACCCAGCCACTCCCCACCCTCCCCACCCAGCCCCTCCCTACCCTCCCCACCCAGCCCCTCCCCACCCTACCCACCCAGCCCCACCCTCCCCACCCAGCCCCTCCCAACCCTCCCCTCCCCACCCAGCCACTCCCTCCCCACCCAGCCCCTCACCACCCTCCCCACCCAGCCCCTCCCTACCCTCCCCACCCAGCCCCTCCCCACCCTCCCCACCCAGCCCCACCCTCCCCACCCAGCCCCTCCCAACCCTCCCCTCCCCACCCAGCCACTCCCTCCCCACCCAGCCCCTCCCCACCCAGCCCCTCACCACCCTCCCCACCCAGCCCCTCCTTACCCTCCCCACCCAGCCCCTCCCCACCCAGCTCCCCCCCAACCCTCCCCTCCCCACTCAGCCACTCCCTCCCCACCCAGCCCCTCCGTGCACGACGGACGGACACAATAATCCCCTGTGGGCTGGTGGAACCAGTGGGTTCCTACCGGTAATATGTGCCTGATGGAATGCTCACTGTTGCAGAGGCCGCCATGGTTTTCACTGCTTTGTGTATTAACCAAAGAGACGCACTGTCTGCTTCCGAGTAGGCCATTGTGTGCAGGTGTCACGACCCAAATTAGAAAAACTACACCGCAAATTACTCAATTGGAATACTGCATACATAGCAATCATCGCCCCCTAAGGCAAAAAAAAAAACTTGGCAGGACCCTCCTGGAAAAAGCCATGCGATCCACAGTGAGGCTTTCCTGAGTAAACAAGCGGAATGACAAATCGGTTGAGTACATGCCCGAGTAGATGACCAACATCTCCGTGGAGTGAAGAGCTTAGCACGGAATCACGAAACCGCGAGAGATGGCGGTGGCGACGACGTGGAGAGTAGATTGACCACAGCCGCTGATGGACAAGACGAGAAATTGCTCGTTGTAAATATATCACCCTCCTATTCCGATATACACACACACCATTGCTTGCTATCATTGATTGGCACGTATTGATGCACCACCGCACCCTGAAAGTCAATGCATTGGCATGATTCGAGGTTACGAGTCAATGATTGAGTTATTTTGCTCTAATGTTCAATATCCCCATCATGTTGTCTGTCAAGTGTGTGTTTTATTTTGCTTCGTCTGTCTCGTTCCACTGGCCTGCAGGTAACAACATGCCTAGAACGAGCAGGCATCATAAGTAATCGATTCTAACAAGCACAATCCGATGCAAGTATCATGATCATAAGAATCGATTTGAATCTATGAATCGTTACGTGACCAATTACTTAGATGCTGTTTCTGCACAGATGGTGAATATCTACGCTAATTGTTGACAGAGCGCAACACCGATTACTCGGGTCCCTCCAGTATAAAATAAAGATGATTATTTTGACTCTTAATTGTGCATGGCAATTGTTCGTGGATCATATCCCTCAAACGCTGGCTTTTCAGCAGCCCAGACAACACTGACGTTCTCTCACATGTCCTTCTGTGGGCAGCAGCGTCATATGCTCTACAATAAACATACAGCCAGCTGCTCTAACCCAACGTCCTACATGTACACGTGTCCTCTGCAGGGTAAATGTACAGCCCTGCAATTGCTCGCGCACGCCACTGCTGGCGGAAGGGTCTCCACTAAAGGGGGCTGTGGAGAATGTCTTCTAAGTGGGTGTTTGGCCTACTCTTCCGCGCGGGATAGCCATCTTGGAGGAAGTGGGAGTACCCAAACTTTAACTCGCCACACACGATCTGACTACCGATCGACTAACTGTGCTGTACCCATTTGTAATGCTGGTGGGTGTAGGGATTTAAGAAACTTGCCAATTACACTGGTCAACACACTTTTTCTGGCATAAGGTATTCCAACGGTTTAAGGTAATTTTGGGGTGCTGATTCCAAATCTGGCATCAGTTTTGTCTATCACATCAGGTTCTTTAGATCTCAAATATTGCATTTTCAATAAAAACTGCAGAAGAAAAATATTAAATAAATGTGGATATCTACATAAAATGATATTATAAACACACTATCCTAAAATACAGTACCATATTTTAACACTAAAGCAGTCACTGACTCGCAACAACTTGCAATCATAAGTGACAGAGTTAATTTCGGGTAAAATCAATTAAAATGGGGTATGCCGATATATAAAAATGAGATGTGATAGAGCAAATCTGAGATCAGATTTGGAATTAGCACCCTGAAATTAGTCTAAAACAGCTGCAAAAGTCCAGGCGAGAAAAAAATGTTTTTTTTTTTGTTGACCAGTATTATATGAACAGCCGAGTGGGAAAATTGTATCAGACCTCTGGCTGGATTGGAAGTCCAAATGTGCGGTCCCGACATGCACCGCGTGCATCGTAGTCTGTCTCGCGGAAAGTGAGCACCAATTTTTGAGATCAAGACGCATTATTAAAGAAAGGCAAAACCAGCCAGACATGAGGCGCATGCTGAGACACGACATATATCACGACAGTCCTGTTATACGGAAACTTATTAAATAATGATCACAGAGTGACCCGCGGAAACACACACGTGCATATGCGTGCTTATACAATGCTCCACCAAACAGCCACATTGAAGATGGACTTTCTCGATTTACATTATAGAAAGCAATGTCTCCTTAAAAAAATATTGTTTTACTTAAAAAAATAGTATATTTTTTACGTGGAGACACAGATATACAAATATAAAAATTATTGTTTATTTGTTGCATATGTGAGAGCTGGGTTTATGAAAGAGGGGGATTGTCAGCTTCTCTTAGTTGCCTCATTCCCCACCATGACGCGTCCGGTTGTTTTGGTTTTAACATCGACCAATGGATTACACAGACAAAGATCCCCCGTATAGCCTTAACAGACTGTTGGGGCAAGTGCTGTTAGCGAGCACCTATGAGGGCTTGAACGGCACACAACGGGGTGGGGATGGCCAGCACCACACCCGGTCGCCTTTCTCGCCCAAGTGACGATATTTACACATCGCACCAAATACTCATTTATGGCTAAGTCAACGTAGGGGAGGTTCAAATAATTGTCACTGGTGTTGGCCGTCGAGCAGGAATCGAACTCGGGTCGCTGGGTTCTCAGCGCAGCGCGCTAACCGCTGCACGACCGCACTACCGACATGCCGACCCGAATTTGATTCCCATCATCGGTGACGAATATCTCGAAACCGGTTCTGGGCCTCCCCTAGGTCGCCTCCGGCGCAATGACTACCTGCTGCGGTGTGTAAACACCACTAGGGTTACCAGGGAGACAAAGGTGATCGACCGTGATCGCACTGCGTTGGCCTTTACCGGTGCTCGCTGACAGCACTTGCCCCAAGAGGCCGTGAATCTCAGTTGCAGTGCAGGACCTCTCTCTGCAGTGGTCGAGGAGACACCACCCATTGTGTGCGGTCTGGCCGCCCACGATCAATACTCGCGCACGTGAGCCATTAGAGCCATTACTACGCTACTGCCTCCTCCTCCTATCTCCTCCTCCCGGGCTTTGCCTCGTGAGCGAACTGGGGGGGGGGGTGGGGTGCTGTGTGTGAGGATGCGGTTAGCGCGCTGCGCTACGAACC